TCACATTTTCCTTCCTTGAGTCTCCTACATATGTTAGTCCTTTGTCTTATAGCATAAAACATCACTGTCAAAGAGTTTGACATCAATATGTTTTTCTCTCCCTTGGAAGTGATCTGATATTTTTTCTGTTTTTTTTTTCTTCTGCATAACGAAAACACTTTAAAAAATTTTTTCATTCCAAGACCAAAAGATTCACTAGAATAAGTCTCAGTGTTAGTCATCACAGGACAGTTTTGCCAGGAAGAATATGTAGGTTTAAGCCTTTATTTCGGGAAATTTTCCTAGAAATAATATATAGGTCCAAATCTTGATTTATTCATGGAAATATTCCTAGGAAAAATAGATTAAGTTTTAAAGACTATACCAGTAGGAGAGAAGACAAACTGACACCTTATTCAAGAAAATCGCAGGAACAAAAGCTCAAAGAATCTTTTTAATTTCCTATGCAAGCCATTTTCTCCATGTTTTTGTCTGCCACTTAAACACTTCTTAAACTTCAATTCAACTGTCAAAAAATCAAAAGGATTTTCACAAGATCATGTTTAGTTTCTTACTTGTTGTATTTCTTTCATTTGAATTTGATTTCATTGCATATAGGTTGCTTTACTACAGTGTCATTATCATGATGGCCATGAAGTGATTGTTGTGAAGCATAGACGCTCTGCTCCGTTACTGAAATTCTAGCTCACTGTGTGGCTCATCCCACTATTATGGTTGGCAGAACCTAAACATGCTGCAGCTTCCTCTCCTTACCTCATCTGTATCTTTATATGTCTTAAAAAGTATTATTCCCATACTGATTTAATGCTTCTACTTTTACTATTGCAATATATCAAAGATTTCCAAATATCAGTTCTCATATAATTAAACTGTGGTAAACTCTCTAGCCAAAAAACATCAGATTGTTATTTATTATAATTTTGTAATTAATTTCTTTTTATCCTATAATACAATCTGATAAATTACACAAAACAGTAATATATAATGTTGCACCTGAGAAAGTTTTTCTACTCTGGATTTCAGTTTTATCATACATAAAATGAGGACTTTTTACTAGATCCCAAAATTTTGAGTATTTCCTCCTGTCACCCATTGTAGAGCAGTGGGAGGTAGAGTGAATGAAGTCCAGGAATTCCAATGCTTGCCTTCCTTAGCCAGAATAACTCTTAAGTTATCTCTTTTATACACTGGAGTTCCAGGAAAAAAAAAAAGAGTTTTGAAAAATTTTCAAGGCTGTAAAAGAAGTGCTAAATAACTGCATTGGATGATTATAAAAGTGATTCCTAGACCTTAAAATGAAGACAAAGAAAGACAAAGGAAGGAAGGAAGGAAGGAAGGAAGGAAGGAAGGAAGGAAGGAAGGAAGGAAGGAAGGAAGGAAGGAAGGAAGGAAAGGAAGGAGAGAGGGAGGGAGGGAGGGGGAGGGAAAATTCTTACACTTTCTTGATTTTCTAACTTAATCCTCAAAGATAATAATAGTTTTCTTTCCTAAGGCTTATACGTGATAGCATTAATCCGGATAAAGAGAAGTTGCAAATGGTGTAGCATATAGATTGTGACCCTTGTCACGCTATTTAGCGAGAAAATATTCAGACCTAATAATCGGTTGTTTTGCACCAGTATAGTCGCATACCTTTTTATGCTGGATCTCTTTTGTTTAGGTGAGTACCCATGACTTGTGAAATATTTTGCATATCTTTCTTGAAACTCAGACATGGCTAGCAAGAAAGCACTGTAGACATGTAATTGTGAGTGAGAAATAATCTGAACACGTCTTTGTTTACATTCCATCATTTTTGATAGTATGTGCTCAGACTCAGAAAATTATTTTGCTCAGTTTCAATACATAACCTTCATTCATAAGATTGGCTCACCCCTTGCATAAAGATTAAAAATACAGAAAGTATGAAGATAACCTCTTAAGACCAGACAACTCCTGTTTTAATATTTTTTGTCATAGGTATGATGTTGTGAGAAACTAAATAAAAATCTATATGTTTTCACCTATTTTTATCTATCGCTATATTTTGGTATGTCTTTTAATCTCAAAAATATAGCCTATTAAGCTATCACTTGTCAGAGGACACACACCTCAATAGTCTGTAATTCCAAGTTAGAGTCTTGGATACAAAATTAAGACGTTTGCTTGATTTTGCTTCACATGAATTACTATTCCTTCTAGAGAAACACCAACAAGGATACAAATAGATAGCTTCTCCCTCTTGTGCTGTCTTTCTTAATAGGTACTGCACTTGACTCAGGAGTGGATTTTAAAAATTAATTCTAGGCCCGAACTGCTAACTTCAGCCTTTCAAGTGTAACTATTTTAGAGTCCAGTTTTTCAGAGTTGAGCTCTGGCGGCCATTTTAAGAAGGCTATTTTGACCCAGGGGATCTTTTTCTATGGGGCTTGGAATCTGCAAGAAATGTGGCTAAGACATAGACTGAGAATTAGCAAATGTGTTGTACATATTACTTGATAATTGAAAAAAAAAGAATTAAAAAGTGAATTGATTTGCTACTCAACATTATCAAAATGTCCCTGACAAACATGTCAACATGGCATACACATGAGCCATTAACAGCTACACAGGCCTGTCTACAATCTGCCTTCAAGGGAAGAATGGCCATCCCTTTCCTTTGCTTATCTGTTCTCGTTACCTGAGGAATGTTCTACCTACATCCTTTACCATGCCTATTTTATCCCCCGCCCACTCCTCAAATCCAAATTTCAATTACTTCGCAGTAAATTTTCTATTCTTCAATTACTCCTGGCCACAGAGGAGTCTCCCTTCTTTAATTCACGTAACACTTATAATCTTCTCCAAACAATTTATACCTAAATACAAAATTTGTTTGGCTCTCTAGATACTTAAGCTGCTTTTCTTTAGGTAGCTATTAAAGTTTTTGAGACCAGAAACTAGATATTTCTCTTTACTAGCAAACTTCAACCTAGGTGCTTAAGAAATACAATTTTTTTAAATAGGAAAAAAAAATAAAGACAAAATTGCCAACATGTTTCTATCATATAAACATGCATATTATTAAAATATGTAAAGATCTGCATTCCAGTTGATCAATAGCCACCGCCCCACTCCCTCATTTCCCATTCCCTCCAAGTTCTCCCTCACTAACCTGGAAGTCTCCCCTCAATCCATCAACTAAAGGGGTAATACAAGGCACAAAAGAGGATGCCAGTTCACCTTTCCAGTCTCATGGCCACTGCTATCTGTTCTGAGGTGTTGTTCAGGTGCTACAGGGATGATACCACTAATTAATGCTTAATGTAGCTTGAATCCAAGAGACTGTTTTCCCTTCAGTAGAAGTCTGTTCATAAAGTAAATTTTCATTCTTTTTTGCATGGGATACAGAGTCTCACTTTCTTTCCCAGGCCGGAGTGCAGTGGCACAATTACAGCTCAGTGCAACCTCAACCTCCTGGGCTCAGGTAATCCTCCTGCCTCCGTGTACCAAGGCTGATGGGACTAAAGGCATACACCACCATGCCCAGATAATTTTGGGGGGATTTTTAGAGATAAAGTCTGGCTATGGTGCCCAGACTTGTCTCAAACTCCTGGCCTCAAGTGATCCTCCCACCCAGGCCTCCCAAAGCACTGCAATTATAGGCGTGAGCCACTAAACCCAGCCTTTCATTCTTAACTTAAAATGTTACCATATAATCCTTTTCCAATAAGAAAAACATGTGCTATAAAGAACCCAAGTTATTTTTCAACTTATAATATATATTCCCTTGTAATAATAAGCAAAGTGTTTTTGCTTATACAGATGATAACCATATTACTTTTAACACCAAATTATTCTGCCTTTTAGAAATTAATGGCATTTAAATGATTACATAGGAAGTCAAATTATTTATTTGCCATTTCTCTAGTATCCCATTTGCATATTGGGTTCAGATATCCCTAAAATAATATTTCATTTTGTTAATTTATCTTAGTTCTGAAATATGCCACTCTGTTTTTCAATAACAACAGTGAAAGTAGACCAAGGCAAATATTAAAATGCTTTTATAAGTAATATATCTAGAAGCATGTAACTGAAAGTAATTAAAATATTTTTGTGCTGATGGACATGCTATGAAAGACAATAATACAATTATGACTCAAATATTTAACGGAACATCTGTTCTTGATCATAATTCCTTCTTCAATTATCACTCTCTTTTATATTTAAGAAATCATTCTTAACGTTTTACAAGTACAGTTACCTTGTGAGTATGATATGAGAGCTATATGTTTGATACTTCATGGACTTCATGACTCCATTGGAGACTTCTGCCCTTTTGGTTGCTGTGTACCTCTTTTCCAATATCCTCATAAAATAGATTTACATGCTTTGTTTGATGTCCCCATGTAACATATATGATTCTACGTTCTCCAATCTTATGGAGTCATTTTTTCTTATTTGAGAACCCCAAATTTAGTATAAGCTTCAATTATGAATTAGGGAAGACTTTCAATATGCTCCCCTTCTTGTTTCTGAGAATCCCTACAAAATACTTTCATGCTCCACAAAACTTATTTTGTTTCTCACTTATTGCCTTCCCCAGCCATTTTCCCCCAGACAGCCTTTCCATTTCTTGAATGACCTCCCTTAGTCACTGTGACATAACCATGGCCATTTTCCTTTTTCTCCTTCCATCCAGAATGGACATTGACAAATTTCTTAAGTCATTGGAACATAGGCAACAAAAAAATCTTCATGATGTTAAATTACTGTGCTTAAGGCTTGGAGATAAAATTAAAAAGCTAAGAAGGAAACTATAAAGGTGGATGTTCATGGTAGATATTATTCAAAAATGGCTATGAAACTTTTTCTGTTTATATGAGCACTCTGTTCCTCCAATGAATATACAGAGTTAAATTCCCCAGCCTTTAAATACGAATTGACCAAACGAAGTGCTTTGATCAATAGAATGTTATGGAAGTGATACTGTATCTGGGGCCTAATTTTCAAGAGACTTTTAACTTCTACTTCTTTAGGACTCAGTCATCATAAAATCAGATTATTCTACTACAAAGTGACACCCCTTGGAGAAGCCCTGGAAGATGAGTCATAAGAAGAGAGAGGCCACATGAAGGAAAATTGAGGAGCCCTGGCTAGCAGGAAGCACCAAGCCTTCAGAGTGTGAATGAGCCCTCCCTGAACTTTTAGCTCCACCCATTCCCCAGAAGAGGACAACTGGATAAGTGATCCCAACCATACCTCCTAGAACAGAAGAACCACCCAATTAACACACAGAATCATAAAAAATGATAACTTGTTGTTTCAACATGCTGAGTTTTGGAGAAGTTTGTTATGCATAGAAATCTAAACTCCTTGATATCACTTCCAATAGAGCCAATTTGCCAAATCCCTTCATATGGGGTCACCTGCTTGATTTCTCTTGCCTAAGCACCAACTTCTCCCCACCATCATTTAGATGCTGGTTTACTTCCCATTATGAGGAATAAATCCTTTCGACACTAAGAATCTAGGGTTCTAGACTCTTAACTCATTGGTTTTAAAATTTTGTTTGTTGTCCTTTATTGCAGCAAAATAAACATAATGTAAAGTTTATCATTTTATCCATCTTAAAGTGTAAAATCCAGTGACATTTTGTAACAATTACCGGTATCTAGTTCTATCACATTTTCATTACACCAAAAAGAACCCATATTTCCCAGAGCCCCTAACAACAATTAATGTATTTTCTCATCTATGGATTTGCCTCTTCTGGATAATTCATATAAATGGAATCATTCCATTTGTGCCTGGCTCTTTCACGTAGCATTATATTTTCAAGGCCCATCCATCCAAATTATTGCTTTTCATAAAGGAAGAAAGAATTATTCCCCTAGTTAGCATCTTGCAAGAAGTGCCACCCTTCCTATAAGGAGGAAAATTTTTAAATTTTCAGAGTAAGAGCTCTATTTCAGAGTAAGATCAAGGCATTACTTTCATCTAACTAAGAGGTCCAATGGATTGTTTTCTTTCTCAAACAAAAGAGTAGCCTCTTATAAAAAGTGAATTCTATAGTCACTCTTGTGGGGAAAAAAAAAAATCTCAGGCAGTTCTACGTTTAGCAGATTGTCTCCAATCCTTATACAAACTGACACAGCTCCTGCTTGTGGGAGTTAATTTTTTGTGTCAATTTGACTGGACATAGGGTGCCCAGATATTTGGTCAAACAGGATTCTGAGTATGTCTTTGACGATATTTCTAGATGAGATTAACATTTGAATTGATAGACTTGAGTAAAGCAAATGGCCCTCCCTAATGTGGGGTTTCACCTAATCAATTGAAGATCTGAGTAGAATGAAAAGGCTGAATAAGATGGAACTTCATTCACCTGCCTGGCTGTTGAACTGGAACACGGGTCTTCTCATAAACTTAGACTAGAACTTAGACCATTGACTCTCCTTGTTCTCAGACCTCCGGCCTTGAAGTAGAGCTACAGCACGCACTCTCCTAGGTCTTCAGCTTGCCACTACCTTTCTTGGAACTTCTCAGATTCCATAATCATAGGAGCCAATTCCTTATAATAAATAAATGTAATACATGTGTGTATACACGTGTGTATACATGTACATATGTGTACATATATGTGTACACACATATGCATACATATACACACATATATACATGCATGTATCTATTTATATAGAGAGATTTATTCTCCTATTGGTTCTGTTTCTCTGGAGAATTCTGGCTAATATACATGCCTTTTTTCATTTCTTAGCAAATATACTACTATTATATATACTAATACAAGTAAGTCAGAATAGATATGCGTCAGCAACAATGTCTATTCATGTCTCCAGAGAAAGCCTTCTCCTAAAGCTTTTTACTTTTATACAGTATAAAATAATTGGAGGCCAAGAGAAGATTAATACAATTGGTACAGTAAAATACTGTCTTCCTCTCCTTCAGCCAATATTCTCACCAACATAAAATAGGGAAAAAAGTAAAATTGTATTTAAAATATTGCATTTATTTAATCTCTATTGGTATGATATTATTAAAATTAGTGCCTAATTTTCTCACTACAGCTCAGGTATGTCTTACTAATTTCAGGTGACCCAAGATTGCGTTTTTCAATGTTCAGTTTTCATAAGTTGTCAAGGAGACCACTATAAAAAAAATCTCACCCCATGAGAAAAGAGAGTCAAAAGGAGAAAGTTGGTGCAAAATAAAACTGGCTTGTGTCCAAAGAGAGGGAAGATGTTGAACACTAGTAGTGCCATTCGTTTAGTCTGTCCTCTGATACAAGCTTCATGGACTCATGCCTGAATCCTCAGGCAACAGAGATATGATTCAAAAACTATGTCTGAACTAATAAATTGGAAATTTGAAAAGTCAAGGTGACAGCAGTATTAAGCACCAGTGGCTTCAGCAACAAGACACAAAAATCTCTCAACATTGGACAGTATTGTTGTTTTAAGCAGTTGAGGGCACCCCAGCATGCTTGGCCTGTATATTAGCACACCCAGCAACAGGCATCAGTAACCATAAGCCAGAAATCAGTGGCCTCCAGCAACCAGCACTGGCAGCAATTTTTGGACTGTATAGCTGTGGATATAGATAGCTTCCCAGGCCAAGAAAGTAGGCAAATTGTGGATACCATATTGATTCCCAGAGGACCAGCTTGCAGATCATACTGGAGATATGCCTTGAGAGGGCAATTATGGGAACTGCCAAGTCAGAAGCAGCGATGCACTGATTTGTTACTGTTATGGTGAAACCCTTTGTGGTCCCTGGTTAGGGTGGCTGATTTTTATCCATAGCAATGTCCTGGCCTCTCTGCATTTTCTTCAATCCTGTTTATAAATTCAATGCCACCTGACCTACATAGGAAACTGTTATTTTCAGAAATGAGATAGAATAATAGGAGTCCTTTTAACTGCACACTCCTGCAGGTAAATTTATTTCCGACCCCATTAGATTGTTTACATCAAGTCCACTGTTTAATTTTGAAAATGAAACTTTCGATGACAAATTCAAGCACTAGTTTATGTATAGAAATTTTTGAAATATAAATTAATTTTGAGTAATGCAAACTCACACTATATTGTTCAAGATGGAGCTTTTCCATTTAAATTTCATGAAAGATTAAGGCAGCTGAAAAAGAAACGTGGATGGACTCAAAGTAACAGTTTGCATTTTGATATTGGAAAACAGTAAGATAAATGGTTTTATGTTCCTTTCATTTGCATATATATGTGGCTAAAGACAGGAGAAAGGATCAAAAATCTAAACTCTGAAATGGCATTTCAACAAAACTATCTGATGACAAAGATTTTTTCACAGATCAACCAGTTTTCTTTTTTCAGCATTTCTAGATGAAATACGATAAGCCTCACTTTCCCGCCTCCTGCAATTTTAGGGTGAGAAATGCTGTTTTGGAAAATACCCACGTGCAATCAACTTGATGTTAGCTAGAAAGTGAAATTATCATCTCTTTTCCATGTCAATTACAATTATGCTTCAATTTAAAAAGTAACATACGGTGGTATATACATTATTCTTGAGTTTAAACCCAATGTCAAACCTTCAAAAAATTCAGTATTATAACATTAAAAGCATAAATTTATATAGTTTATTATTATTATATAAAATAGCATAATTTTACTTAAATTATATTAAAATAAAATATATTATGTTGAAATGGAAACCAAAATAAAATATAAGCTGATACTGATAAGTCTCATCTGTAGCACCAATTAATAGTCATTTTGTTTTAAAGTTTTTAGAATTGTAGAATCTTAGACTTACCTTAGAAGATAATTTCTCAATAATTTCTAACATTCTTTCCCTCACCATTCTTCACCTCCCTCACCTTTCTAACCTGTGTCAAGTGATAAAAGAGTCAGCAAAAGAGGTTTTTGATTACACAGCTATGAAAAAAATTCAAGCATTCTAACAATGATCATAAGGTTGCACTGAAAGTAAATATAAGGAAAAAAAATCTCTTACATGAGATAGTTACTATCCAATGGATTTATGTAATCCTGTTGCCAGAGACATTAACGGTTTATTTCAAAATGTGTAACTGTACCAAAATATAGTATTTTGTTTCTCAAACAACCACTTGATTGACATGTACTGAGCACATTATGTGCAAGACATTGTTAAATATCAAAACAGACTCTTAACAAAAGGAAAAAAATATCATAATCAAAGGGAATATCTGATGGGTCATGTACTCAAGTTTTAGATGGGCATAACTTTATGTCTTTTTAAAATGTGAGAACCTACCAGCTAGCACACCAATGTACCCAGTTATCTTTTTCATTGAAGGTGCAATTTGAACCAATTTGATGACATTTAGGTAATGCAAGCCTTATAAAAACTAATAAAATGAAATAAAACACAATAACTTGAAGATTATTATCAATATAATCTGGAGATTTATTGAGTCATAGCCTAAGCAATCACTAAAAGATGCTAAATATATTTAGGAAATAATTGTTGCATGAGAGAAATAACACTTAGTTTTTTTGCATGAAAAATCTTGCTTATGGATCCACATATAGTTTAATTTTCTAATCCCACCACATGTAAAATTGCACGTTCTATCATCATAAGTGAATATCTAGTTTTAAGAACTCCTCCTGAAACATCTGCAACATTACCTAGCAACATTATCACAGTAGTCTCCATTCATCTGAAAGCAAATGGTTAATATCTGTTTTGAACACAGTCGGAAAAAAAAGCAAAACAATATACATTTTGATTATGATCAACTCTGACACAAATGTAGATAGGCACAGATTCCTTGCATGAGTCAGCTTTTAGAGTATTGTTTCTCCTCATACTTTTAGATATGTTGTGAGTATCAAAATGTGCATAGTACATACAGAATTTAAGGGGATAATATATCAAATTAAAGCATTAAACTTGCAAGCTCTGAAATAGACTTAAAAGCCTATAGAACACCATAAGGGCGTTAAATCAGTCCTAATAAAAATTGAGTTAGTTGGTGGGCAAGTTATAAATTACTTACAAATAGGCTGCTGAGAACTCTCAGACTGCTAAATGGGTCGGTCTAATTATATTCTAAACAAAATTACAGAATATGATAGTGTCATTTTTCCACCATAGTTGAAGCTCACTGATTACTCTGTTGACCACTTCTTCAAATACGATGACTCCAGAATGTTGCTGGAAGGAAATTCGGGAGTAATGTTGGACATTCTTCCAAAGACCTTCTCACCAGGGGAGTGAGCCCATTTTATTTTTGCCACAAGAGTCACTTTTATTTTCTAGGCTGGCCTTGTCACTTAACTTTATTAATAAACTACTGCAGAAGTGATGCACTGCTGCTTCCAGGCCTATCCTGTAAGAGACCTGGCAGGTTCTACTTTCTCTATGGGGATCCAAATCATCAGGCTGTAAAGAAAATTGTGCTTTATTACTGAATTAGGAGAGACCAGATACAAAGGGAGACCAAATGGAAATGAAATGAGCTGCCAAACGTATCAGTAAAG